TATGTTTGATGCATCTATAAAGCTGCATTTTTATTAAAAAAAAATTTCCCCCCTAATTCTGACAATGGCTGTTTAAGTATGCTACTGTGTGAAAATGAGACACCCACAATCCAGCTCCGCACTGATGACATATCAGAAGCGATCGTTCAACTTGTGGAAAAGCAAACTTCATTCGTGCTATGTGGCAATGTCCTCCCATGGGTTTTGTCGCACGTTACGATTGAAACATTATATTTGTAAAGTTATGTATTTAAACATGGCCAGCAGATTTTGTTTTAAGGATAAGAATTCAATGTAAAGTTCATCATACAACAAAAGTAAATTAGCCTTACATCATGTGAACTCTAAAAACAAAAGTTGCTCAAGACCATTCGGTAAATGGTGGTAAAAATTTTTTTTTTATCAAACCCGCAAAAATGGATGTCACATTTTGAGGTGAAACTGTTCATGTGAAACAATATTTGCGAGCTCCTACCGTCGACTAATTTTATTGTAGTTTCGTCAGCACCATGTGACCCTTATTTCTGAATTTCAGTCCAGTGTTAAGTCCTGTATGCTGTATATTGTATGTTCCATTTCCTATTTGATGAAAACATTTTGTGGTGAAAAGTTGTGTAACACATTTGCTTTTGCTCCCCAGTGTACGCTCTGCCCAAGTTGTACGCCAAACTCCTGTACTGTGTCTCGTGCGCAATTCACTCGAAGGTAGTGAGGAACAGGTCGCGTGAAGCAAGAAAGGACAGAACTCCCCCCATCAGGTTCAGGCCCGTCCGGGTGAGTAATTCCTCAAGCGCAATGGGCATTGACAAGTGGCAATTATATGTCCTGGCTGCCTATCGATACTGCTCAATCTAGACTCTTCACGTTCTCTGCTTGAGTAATAAGTGTTTAAAAATGGAATAATTGGTTTGGCTGTACTGGTCTTTATTCTAGTGGTAAAGAAAAAAAGGTTAACTAACAAGTGACTTCTGGTCAGAAATAGGGTCAGCAGGGATGCTGTTTTTCTGGAGGAGCTTTTTGCTATTTCTGTTGTTTTCACTGAAATCTGTTCAGAAGTTATTATTAGTCTCAGCATTTTTTTCCTTCAGTTTATCCAATTAGTTGTGTATATTAACTCGTATTTTTGTTTGCAAATACTTCTTAAATTTTCCAACTATTTTTACTTTAAAATTTTTTAGCAGCATGTTAGTAATCTGTTGTCGAAGAAAAATTTGTTCGTCTTTGTCCGTTCGGAAGTAGTATGTGTTGTCAAGATTGTGATGTTTGAGGATGTTCATTGCTGAAGTCGGAACCTGGGGAATTTTGTTTGGTTAGTTACATCACTCGAACATGGTTTGGTCACACAATAAACACCTCTACTTGAAGATGTTGGTATAGCACTTCTATTTTTTTGGTATCGTTCTCATAAAAAAAATTAAAAGTAAACTTTAAACAACCGGCCATATTGTTCAACCTCTTATGTAGGCAATAATTATTGGGCAGTATTGGTGCTTTCCTTTTACATGCACAATGTGATGGATTAAGTATAGATCATTGACAATGAAAAATGCTCACTCTAGTCGCACTTGGTCTCAATGTACTTCAGAAGTCAGGCCCATTCTTAGTTGCCAGTGAGTCTCTCTGTATGGTTTTCTTTTAGTTCCCCCAATGATCTCATCAATTATAGGACGAAGGGAAATAACGCATGATTGTGTCCTTCATGTAGTTGTTGAAGAATTTCACTTCCCTCGACTTAAGGCAGTCTGCTAGTTAACAGTCCGAATGTCTCTATGCTTGCAACTATGTGCTCGTCCCAAGGTTGGCGGTATAACGGGGTTTGACTTGATTATGGTACAGTGCAGCTTCTGTATAGCGACATGGTACCCAGGTCCCGATTTTCCCCCCCAATAATATACTATGAGTAATATTTTTGGTTGCCTCTCTATACCGACAACTCTCTATAATGACATTTTTAAAAACCTGGTCTCGACCATGTCGTTATAATAGAGACGCTGCAATTGTATTTGTCTTCAGTTCAGCTGAATTTGTTTGTGGTATTGTGAGTTGATTCCTCTTTCCTTCGTTTATTTTTAAGAATTTTTAATTTCAACAATTTTCTTTTTTCTCGCTTTTCAGGAAGGCCAACAGGGCCCAAGACAAGGTCAGCAAGGCCCTGGCGCTGGAAGGAATTAGGATGTGAAAGTGTGGGGGGCACTAGTTCTTTTGGCTACCATTACCAAGATGAAATAAAATCTTGAGTATATTACACTTTGTTTTTTCTTGTGCATTTGTTATAGATTTGTGGTCTGTTGGGTTTTTTTTTTTTTTACTGTTCAGGACTGCTCTTTTGGTTCGTGCCTACTTTGACTTCTTTTTGGTTTTGGGTTCTTGGAAGGGACTCTGGCATGGTTTGCGTTGCTTGGCTATCAAACATTTGTCGTCTTGTCCTCATTTTTCCTACTTTCCAATTGAACATCGTTCATCCTTTCTTTCTTCCTCCTTTTTTGTTTGCTACTAAATCTCTTGTATCACGCTCTTCGGTATGCTCTCTGCGCTTTAAATCATTACCCTGGCAGACCCTACAAGTGGGTGTTTGGTGGGTGCTCTGGTGTTCTTTCCTTCAAAAATCTATCGTCCTCATCTCCGCTCCTCCTTTTTT